GACCTCGAGTGGCTGCGTCCACAAATGTATCCTTTTTGTTTTGACGTGTCACTGAACTCCAAGGAATGATTGAAAACATTTTATGCCTTCAAGTTTTTTCGCTCAAGGTTCTCAAGTTTGATTTGTATTTATCAAAACAAAGCATTTCCAGAGCTTTAAAAAGAGCCCTTAAACGAGCATATTTGATGATTGTAGGCCAAAGTTTGCATTTTACTTCTTGTTATTGGCGTTGTAATTTATGCACAGCCATCTTTCACCGGCGCGTGTTAAGCATGAATTCCAAAGAATGACTGCCGAAATTTTATGCATTCAAGTTTTGTTCGCCAACTGTTTTCAATTTTGATTTTCATGAAATTGAAAAGGGTATTTTGCGAGCTTTACAGAGAGACCTTTCAACGAGGTGCGTGTGAAGCATGTTTGCAAGTCGTGCTTTCTCGTACATTCCCATAAGCACGTGCCAGATCACGATCGAAATTTACAAAAGAGAAGAGAGAAAACCTTCAGGAAATAAACTTGGATCATTTGGAGAGAAAAAAAATCAAACAATTTTGTTTTGGAACGCTCGTCCGACGGAATATGACGCAGAGAGCGCGTGGAAGAAATGGACAAGATTTTTAACCAAGTTCACGGCAAACGCAAACGGCAAATTTCGCCTACTTTTCTTCTTATCCAATAGACCCAACAGAGAAATACACAATTATCTTCTAATGATAACAAACGTAGATACTTTTACACTACTGCTCTTAAAGCTGAAAGGCAGACGACAAAGTTCAATTCTTGCAAGTTGCCGTTCGCATACGCGAGGCGGTTTTAAGTAAAGTACACTATGTTAGTGAAAGAAACTTCATGGTATAATACGAAGCTCTAAGCTTATCATGTGGTTGATAGCTAATATGTAGATTAAATACGTCACAACAACGTTTGACAGCAATGATATGCACGCACCACGGCACCAGCCGTATGTCCAAGAAGACCTCGATGAATTCATTAAAACACGAAATCTTTCAATCATAAGGTTTAATATCTAAAGAAACCTTATCATTTACTTAATTATAAAAATGCTGTTTCAAATCAAGTTTATTGAAAAATGTGCTTGAAAGGAGGCTCATTGGACAGAGTCTTGGGGTAGCGTTCCCAAGCCAAACGATCAAAATTTAGACGATGAGAGAAGCAATACAAAATCTTTTTATTCCAACTATTACCAGCATTAACTGAACACTCAGTTAATGCAGGGATGAATACTAGCAGGGAAAGAAGAGAGCCTCGCAACTTCTCAGGTCGTGTTTATATTTGAATGGAGCAAGAACTGATTAATTAAAACCAATCGGTGAATAGAGTGGGAATAGACTTCACTGAGAAGTAATCTGTTAGCAAGTCACGGCCGCATGAATTCAAACTTGCTTGATTCATATTTGAATAAAATACATAACAACATGTTAGTTCTACAACACAATCGTGTTTACATACTCGCCTTCAATCACAAATAATAATTTTTTGTTTTTTTCTCTGATAAAATCATTATCAAAACATTATGTATAGGCCAACACAAAAAGCACTGTGCACATCCTTGGCACGTGTACATGAACATAAAGATACGTTCGATAAATTGTCTAATTTGCATGAAATCTATACAATTCTTGTCTCTTTCTGTAAATACTTTTAAATATAGATCTAAATCTGTTGCATAAAGACAAACATTAACATAGGACATAAAATGTAAGTTAGACATAAAAACACATATGTGATGAAGCGGGTCGAACTTGAATTTAACACGGGTCGAAGTTACGCGGGGCGAAAATGAAACCTCGATGCAACGTGGTCGTTTGTGTTTGTTTTGAACCACCACTTTTGTTTAAATGGCACCTCTGATTAGTCAGTTATTTTTACCTTTTCACGTTGTCTCAAAATAGTCTCTGCGTTTTCTCCGATGAGTTTGGTGAGCTTGTCAAAATAATTCTGTTTAAAACAGTACAATACGTTTTAATCCGGCGTGGAATCAGATGAATCTACTGATTTAGTAGATGCCGAAGCAGTAAACGCTTATTGATCAGTTGTTGCTAAAGAAGAACACGAAAATCCTTACAAGTATTCCGAGAAAGGTAAAATGTTGATCCACCACGATTTCATTCATACATCAATTTTTTTTCGTTGAGGTTTGCTATCGTTGTTAAATAGGACCAAGGGTCAGTTGAAATTTCTTCCCCGTGGAGAGGAGCTTGCGCTCGAAAGAGTGGTCGAGGTTGTTGTCCATGCAAAGCAGCAAATAACCATTGTAACGCAAACTGTCAGTGTTGCTGACCTTCCTGCAATGAAGGGACCAAACGTCCGGCGGCCGGACACGGTCTGAAAACAATTAAACGCCCGGCAGGCCGATATTTTTCCATATTTCTCTTCGAAATCCAAAATATTTATACGAAAATGTTCTACTTTTATTTACAATCCTCAAGCGCTTCCATGCAGCCCAAAATTTCGAACCTAATACTTTTCGCCATACAGCCATCCAAGCGCTTGAGACTTGGGAACTTTTCAATGACACGGCCGGACACGGTCCTTCGATAACTCCATATTTCTCAGTGAAATATACCAATTTTCCTAGGAAAATATTCTACCTTCATTTACAATCCTCGAGCGCTTCTAGAAAGTGAACAAATTCGAACGTTTTCCGTTTTGCCGACCATGAACACAGAGTACAAAGAGATCTAAGCGTGAAATTTTTTTTTCTTTGGACACTACCGGACACGGTCTTCGAATAACTAAACGTCCGGCAGTCTGATATTTTTCCACATTTCTCCTTGAAAAATACCAATTTCTGTTGGAAAGTATTTTATCTTTATTGAAAGTGAAGAAATTTGAACGTTGTCCTTTACGCCGACTCCGCTGTACACAGTGTAAGTAGAGATCCAAGCGTCACACTCAAAAAAACTTTTCTTCGGATTCTACCGGACAAAATTCAAAACACTATAACAAAACTGTAAAATGACGAACCGCAAATGTATTTACCGTAAAACGGTTGACTATAAGTCCAGGATGGCTTTTGAGAAAGACGATTTTAGATGGTTTTCCAGTAATCTGGGAATTTCGTGTTACAGGAAATTGGGTCGCGGCGCGCGTTGCATCATGGGTGAACTGGGCCTTTAAGAAACTTACCCCACTTAGTCGTTTGTCTGAGTACAAAGCTCATCTATATCTCTATCTATATACATCTACTGATCGTAACTACCACACGTAAAAGCGCTTTTCGATATTGGCAGCTTACCGAACTCAAACTGAATGAAATTTGCCGAACGTTCTTTTACCTCAGCCGGATTCTAAGTATGTACCATTCTATAACCTCACCTCCTTTGGGATCCGATCTTTTCTTCCCTTTTTTACCTAAAATTTTCAAGCTTTTCAAAGGATTGTTCATTATTCTCCCAGAATTACTACAGATTCCTTTCGTTCTGAGCTTCCTGCGTAAAGAATCCCAGCTAGGCAGAAACCAAATTTACCAGGAAACTTTCGAATTCTGGGCATGACATTTTCCGCTGGCAGAAACACAACGGCGCCAGTAGTTCGAACGAGAATTCCCATTAAATTGAGTTCTCGCCAACAAGATCAATCGTTACTTCTTCGTTCACTTCCTTGTGAACGTTGATTAGCTTTAAAAAGAGACGGGAACCAAATTTAAGTTATCAGAACCAACTAGAGCTGGCTGGAACCGAGTACCGATTAGTAAGTAATCAACGAAGTAACTAATATTAAGTCCAGTCCGATGTTTGACTAACAAATCATAGACTAAATGACATTAGGTTCCGTATAACCTCCATATACTCCAGTGTCTCGGTATACTCAATACCAGATTACGCCTAATCAACCTCTCGTCTTTCAAGTTGTTCTTATTTATCGACCAAATTTACCGCCTTTCAAAAAGATTCGCCACAGTTGCCGTTGATGGGAAAAAACTTGGAAATTTCAGCTATTCAATAAATATTACTTAACGAAGCCATGGGTGGAAAAGGGCTTACTGTAACATGACTGACACTCAAGAAAATAAAAGAGCTTGGGTCAGTTACATTTTCCCAACAAACTTTATATTTTATCTAGAAAAATGCTGCGACACTTTCCATGAGCATTTCCGTTCAGGTAAATGTCCTGTCACGCATTCGAATTATTCCTCGACAACGTACATTGATTACACCTTATAGACAGTACAGCTACAGCGTCAGCTAAAATTTCAAATTACTTTTGCGCTCTTTGGCTTTAACGACGCATTGAGTTATTCACGAACGTAGTGGAGATTTCGCAAAGTTGACCACACATTTTATTTCTCTCTGCGTTATTATTTGGCAGGCTGCAATCCACACTTATGGTGAACTGACCGATTCATTCTTCTAGTTTGTGGAGTTTACCGCAGGGATTCTCGTTTCGCAAATCACAGATTTCCACTTCGGAAGTTACAGAATCATTAGCATATTTCCATTTCACAAATTACAGCAGGCCCACAAAAGCATGATTGTATGTGATTTAAGGACAATGGAATAAACAAACTGCTTCAGGGTTATTTCATTACAGTGCATTGCATTTTCATATAACCTTGCTGCTTAATTGGCTCATAACGTCTTTTTTTTAATACTGACTTAACTTACGCCTATTTTGATTAAAATTACATTTTATGAAGAGAAATCAGGTAAAACGTTTTTGTGTTTATTTATGATCATTTGTTTTCTTGAACTTCTGACAACTCGAGCTTGAAATTTTATGGACCGGTCGCCTGAGGGGGAAGGGGGAAATGTTATGGACCGGTCGCCTGAGGGGGGTGGTCGGAGGGTTTGGTTGGGTCACGATTAAGTTTACATGATCCCCCTCTTAAGCTGTACAGTATTCTGATAATCTCTCATCAGCAATAATGCTTTTTATGATTGATCTGCCTCTATAACTTTCCGAAAAGGGCTTAACCTCATTTCGTTTGAACTCTTTTAATTTGGTACAGGAAAACCCTCCCATCCACGGTCAGAGAGAAGATGGCATATGTGACACAAAGGACATCCATAATTCTCTACGCTGTGTTTCATTTGATCAGCAGTCTTTTTATTTGCACCACAGCAGACGTAACAAGTAAATGCGCCAACACCACTATCTGTATTGGAACCTATGCTGACATCTACAAATCCTTAGCATCAGATGTGAACAGTTTTAACATCGAATACGCCTTATATCCGGCAAATGAGCCTTCCTCAGTTCTAGTCTTCGTCAACTTATATGGTCAGAATGGAACAGATAAAACGGGCAACGATTCCGTGCCTGATGTAATGAAATACATATGGAGCTTGAGAAGCCTTTATGCTGCTTTTCCCGCTGTTTTCTTGGAGATCTCATCCTTTTTCTCAATATTGGTGACTCCACGCACGCAAGAACTAAACATCACGATTCCATTCTTTTGCTGCAATGTTTCTGTAAAAGACAGGAAAAGAATGATTAAAACTGCACTGGCTGCTGTAAGTATTTCAATTAGCTATTTTATATTAGCACACAAAGTCCCATTCGCGAATTCAAGATGTTAGCGCAATGCTCAACGAGTTTGCTTAGAAATTCCGAAAGGTTTCTGATGAATCTTTTAGCCGAGACGAAACGCAGCGTGTTATTAGCCACGAAGTATTTTTTCAAAGTAGTTGACAATTTCCCATGGTAGAAATAATTAAAAATATCCGTAATACAAAAGGCACTCATTCTACTAAATTTAAATCTCACTTTACCTAAGCCGTCACCTTCACATTTTTCTTTTGTACAAAAATATTTCGGAATCTTACTCACTTATAGATTTTGAGTGGTTTGTGTATCAATACGCTGTTGCGGCTGGTCGACGCCCAGCCGTCGCTTGGGTTCCCATACGGGACATCTATGTTTTGAAATACAGTTCAAAATGACTAAAATGAAACACGCATGATTCCCTGTTACTCTGAGTTTCGTGCTTACGCACTCATCAGATAGATTAAATTAAATTAATTGATTATTAAATGAGTAACAGGGAATCATGCGTGTTTCATTTTAGTCATTTTGAACTGTATATATGTATACAGTTTTATATATATATATATATATATATATATATATATATATAACAACACATATATAAAATGACTGGAAATATATGAGAATCATATATGTGCACTGCGGTGAAGATATGAGATATATGCGATTCTCACAGCTATGAACACTACTGAAATGAGTAGTTGAATGAGACTGCTATAGTTGAAATGAGACCTGAAAAAATTCAGGCCCGTACAGGATTTGAACCCATATGTAAGATTTCTGCTATCGAAAAATCAGTGAGCGGTTTACAACGTTTTATTTACTGACAGCTAAATGCCTTTTAAATCGAAAATGATGACTTCCACTCAAGTTGTCGAAATCGCCGTCAGTGATCGCTATCTCCAGAACTGGTTGAATAAAATACTTCTGCTATCACCAAAAACGGTTTTTCACTCTTACACGCTCCACTCTTATAGTCACGTCTGATGTATAGTTTTTTTTTAGCTTCAAGACCTTGCTGTAACTTCTGGCTTGCGAGATCCACGCTTGAATTTTGCAGAATCTGTCATAGAAGGGCACATCCCAGACATGAAGACTACTGGTCGTTCTTACTTAAGGGTAGTTTTGTGGTTTTCTTTCCTGTGTCCCATGTTTTTTGGTCCATTTTTATATCTTTGGGTCTTACAATACTTAAAAGATGACACTCAAGGTATATCACTCTCAGCGGGTAGCGATGGAAATCGTAGAAGGGTAGATTATATTTGTCGTAGAAACGAAGAACCACTGATACGTTCAGTAACTTTATTTTGTTGTTTCCTGTTGCTGATAGAGGTCATCTTTGTTTTAGCTAGAGTGTGGACATCCACCGAAATTTCAAAAAGAGGAAATATGTCGCGAGACTTTATGGCACTCCTTGCACTTATACCAGAATGGTTAGTGATATGCTGTTGTAACTGCCTTTGTTGTGAAGATCTGGATATTAGTTCATTTTTCAGCAGATTATTGCTTATTATGTGCACGAGCTTTGTTAGTTACCATTTGAGCTGGGTAGCAGTGGGCATCATGGTTAATCCAGCTTGGGGCGTTTCTATTTTGCTGATACTATCCTTTTTTTGCATTACCCTTTTTTTTGTTATCAATGAAACAACCCACGCAAATGACTCCCGCCTTTCTACCCTTTTCGCATATACACCTGGCTTCCTTGGTCTCTGCTTTGTTGTCGTCCCTCCAGTATTAGTTGGACAGTCATTTTATGGTCGGGAAACTGCAGACGATATTCTAAAAGCAGCGTTATTGTCTGTTATCGGTGCTGTGTCATGGCTGTACTTCAAATCCCGCAAAGCTTCCTCTGATACTTCACAGTGTGTTGAGGCTGCTAAGGAAGCAGCAGCTGCAGCGAGGGCTCTAGCCGAAAAAATAACTGTACCTCAGCATGATGGGACTGAGGTTCATTCTGCAATTGTGGCAGCAGCTATAGCTACATCCTCTGCAGCTGGTGCAGCTGTGGCGGCTGCTGAAGCTGTGGCTGTTGCTTTGGCTGCAGTCAAGACTGAAAATTCAAAACCTAAAGCCGCGCAAGGTGGAAACGAAAATAGCACCCCGAACGGAAATGGACTAAGGGAGGAGACACATCCCCTAAACGAAATCCAAAGTGCCTCCGGACGTTAAAACACCGAGTGTCCATCGCTTTGAATCAATGTTGGTCTGCTTCCCCACTTCCCCTCCTTGCTTTTACCTTTCGTGCAGGCTCTCTAAAAAAAATTAATCCTCGCCTTCTTGCCTTGGTCTTAATGGTGGTGGTCTAACAGTTTATGTAAGAGTACCAAGGGTTCGCTCGTCAAAAATGCTCCTGCTTTATATTAAGGACAGATAATGATTTTACGCAAGTGTTAGCTAGAGGTAAAATTCGCTCTTAGGGGCTTATGTGGCCTAATACGTGTTTGACTTCACTTTGCTTGCTTCTAGAGAGCTTTAGTTCTTATTTCTTAGTTAATAACATTATATCGATTTCCTGTGACGCCTTTGGTACTCACCCCATTGATTTAGACTTCATAGAAATAAAAGTATGCAAGCAAAGATATTTTATCATCTTGTTTAGCCATATATTTAAACCTCCACTATTCCCGGCTCTCATTGAATATGACAATCTAATTCATTCCTTTCTGAAATAATTTCACATCTCCCTTTGACGGTCAGCATTCTTCAACATCCCGCATTTTCCTCTGCCCTTAAAGTGGCCTTACTGGAAAAGTTCGACTGTGTCTGCTATCAGTAGCGTTTGAATAGATTAGGAGGAAAACTTTCTGTAACTATAGAACATACAGCATATCAGCTTGATGCATTTTGAATTTATCTCTCAATGCAATTGTTTAAACAACTATTCTTTTTTCCTCCTTTGTAATTAGTGCTATGATTCTCCGAGACTTGGACGTTTGTCATTAGGAATATCTTACGTCAACATTGCAACAGTGTCAGTTTTATTAAGTCACAAGCATCAAATGTTTTCATAGCATGATGATGTTACTGTAGTCTAAGTATGAAACTCACTTCAACTTTCATTGATTGTCTGTGTATTTCAATGTTTTTATATAATAAATTATTTCCTTTATACTGCAGTTTTTACTTTAGTGTTAGGCAGGCATTTTATGGAAGGAAAAGTATCGAATAAACTACGAACATGCCGTTTTTTTCTCGGCATCTTACGGTAATGTTATGGATAGTTTTGTAATCTCGAAGAGAAAAAACCTGTAACCCGAAACTGTTCCTCTTCCTGCGGTGGCTTCGAGCTCCAAAAATAGGTTGAGGAGGAAAAGGTTTGCTTCCGAACTCCCCACTACGGATTGAGCGTTTAAATGCACATACGCATATCCCAGCTATTGATTCCAAGGTAACCATGAACTTTTTAAGGCCCTAACAAGGATTCAAATCCACAGAATAATTTCTGTGCCCCGTTCGAACTAGGGGCTTCCCAGGGTTCATCCAAAATCAAAGGTCTCCACATTAAGTTATGAACCTTGTTTTTTCAGCTGGCATTTATAGCCCAAAGGCAATGCATGCAGACCATAAATCCGAGGGGTAAAAAACAAGGTTCTGTAACTTACAGCAGTGACCAAGAAAAAAATATTAGTACAATATTTATTCTACCTCTAGATTCAAATAGAGGGGAAGAAACCAAATTGAACAAATTTTTTAATTTAGCGGGCCATACAGTGAAATACAGTCTGCTAAACTGACCAATCATATTGCACATATTAACTGAGAGATACAATCAGCTATATTATTATTTGTTGTTGTGTAACTGAAATGCAAAACATATTAGTCATTTTAAGCAACAACACTTAATATTCAGCTCCTCAGAAACAATATTAATTTGCTTTTTCTTTTGTTTGTGTTTGGGCTTGTGATGTTTGCTGGCTATGATATAAGCTTACTTGATATTTCTTTCCACTGTCCATAGTCAATGTTTCACACATGTACAGCAGCTTAGAAGATGGAGAAACAGAGAGCAATGAACAAACAGAGTCTGCATCAGTGGTGTGAATGTCCAGTGTAATATTGCAGGTTAAACAGCTTATTGTAACTGTCAGTTAGACTGGCTTGTATGGAACAGATCAATAAATTCATAAAAAATAGTTCTTAACCCTTTAACTCCCAAGATCTCATTAGTACTTCTCCTTACTGTCTGTCATATAGTTTTTCTGATGTTAGTTTGGAGAATTTGGAGTTGGATCAAATAATAATTCCCTAATTAATATTTTCTTTATTCTCATCACTTGTCTGCTTGATATTGTAAGGAGAAATTCTGTCTTGGTCACTCATTGGAGTTAAAGGGTTAAAAAGATAATAAAAAGTAAGTTATGTTAGAGGATTATTATAAGCATCTTGGATTATTTAGAATAATCAACAATGGTGAAGCAAAGACCTTCATGTAATTGCTGACTGAGATAAAGCTTATAAATTTAGTAAGTATAGAATTTGTGTAACAGTTTCAGCTTTACTTACGACTTATAGGGAAATATATGGAAACAATACCTGTAGAACTTTATCATCCCAACGCTTATTAATCAAAGCACTATTTGACTAAACTCCAAAAAAGAGATTGTATGAGTGTGTATAGATAAACCTTGAAGCAATAAAGAAGGAAATGAGTCAGTTCTCAAACATAGAACGATATGTTGATCAAAAGTTGCTGTTTACATCTATTTATGGCTTATAGGTCAGTTAATTGGCAGATTGAATGTTTGAGCATATAAAATTTTCTCCCTTTTTTCCACACAACAATCAAGTCCCACACTTCACTGAAGCTGAAACTGGAGGCAAAATATGCTTTCTTTTACTTTGCTATACATTAAACATGTCAAAAAATTTGAGTCCTGCCTGTGGTTGGTTCATTTATTGAATGCGGTTATTGGTTTATTTCTAATTATTATTTTCTTATTCGTCAGATTCAGAAGGTATACCGTATGCCTATCAGTAATTAAGTATACAAGGTGGTTTAAAGAACATAGAATAGCTGAAGGGGAGGAACTGGGACGGATCAGTGATATTATACTATTTTACTTTTGTTTTATGTAACATCTATACTCTGGTGTTTTGCCTTAATCCCTTAAAAACTGAAAGTTGATCAACAAGTGATTTCTCATATCATCTTCATTTAGAGCCTCTTTTTTTTAATAAGAGATGTTGATATTATTGGCATTTTACTTTTCTCGTTGTTCATGTTTGACTTGATTATTTGATTACTAATCACCGACTGGAAGCGACTGTTGAATGTAAGCGCAGAGTGACACAGATCAGAGATGGATGATGACGTTTAATCAATAGGAATAGGTTTAATACAGTACGTGAATGGATTTATTGTAATTTCCAAGGACGCATCCTTTTGAGTTTAGAGGAAAAACCTCATGAAATCCAGTGAGGAGAATTTATTCTTAAAAAAAAAAAAAAAAACGGGAATCTTCAGGAATTGTTTGTTTGTGTTAGGCGAACGGGAAGTTCGTAACTAATTAGATTTTTTAGCGAGCAGAAACCGAGATATTCCCAACAGGGGCAAGAATTTGTTTTAGGACCGAAATATAAGTAAAGCAATTTGCAAGGGAAAGATCACAACTTATCTGTAGACTCTCATAATTTCTACAATTTTCTTTTTTGTTTTTTACTCACAAGTTTGGCGAGGATTGTCCAATACCACGGATCGTAACGAGTTGTAAAAGAGACTCGTCGATCCGTACGGATAGTGTAATGATCTGTAATGTTTTCACGAGTCGTACGTTCCTAACACACGAGTCGTCTGTTATATTCGCGAGTCGTAGGGTCGTGGTGTCGATCCATGAATGTTATTAAAGATACTTTTTTCTTCTCTTGAGAGTCTTTCGGGCCATGGCGGATTTTGTCGTTTCGTACGATCCTTAGGGATCGTGTGATCCTTAGGGATCGTGTGTTGTCCATCCGTGAATCTTATTAGGATACTTAGGTTTTGTCTGCTGGATTGGTGGTGTGTCTCGCACTTCGTACGGTGCGTTTTGAACAAGAAATACCCTTTGTGGTATCCAAACAAGCAAATTTAATATCCACAAAATTACAAGACAACCTTCGACATGTAACCTCAACAGTCAAGTCCCGTATTCGGTGCACGCCACGCCTGAAATATCGTCTCGACACTAGCATACGTAATTACATTGTCACAACCATTTGACAAGTACATGACATTTCTAAAAGTATGCCACACCTTGACAGCTATGCTACACCCTTATTGTTCGAGCACTTCGTGTGGTGCTCTTTGGTAGAACGAGTTACACCCTTGTTGTTTACATGCGCACTGAGCAAGTGATCCGCTCGTATCGCGCAGATCACGCGTGCATTTTAATCCGGAAAGCACTATATAACATCGTCCTAAACCAGATGAGCCCACGACATATCAGCGGCATCTTGTATGAGTATCCGCAGTTTACAATGTGACTTCCGCTTTTTCTTGTTGACGCGTACTCACAGTGTACTCGAGTGTTAGGAAGTTCGCGTAGTGCGTCTGAGCCAGTTTCTGCCAGATTTGAACAGAAAAACAGGTCCTTTGTTGGACTGTAATGATACTTTGATGGCGCTGTTAACGAAATGTTTGGCCGGTTCGTAAGTTGTCAACCTGGTTTCGGTCGATCTGATTGATTGGCAACACCTCTTGAAAATCCTACACACCATCGAACTAAGCCTCATAGCTGCCAAGTGAGCAGAAGAACAATGACATCAAAATACTCGAGAAAGATAAGTATTAATTTTAATTGCCTTTGTGTTAAACTTATATGTACAGAAATTTCTGAAGAGGTACTTAATCAGAAGTTTATCTCATGATAAGCCTTCAAACTTGTATTAAATAAATTGATGTACATTTTTCACAATTTTAAGATGATTGTGTGATGACAATACACCAACGGTCAACATTCGAATAATCAGCTTGAGCTTCCTCCTAAATGTTAAGTATTTCAATTTGAACTTGTAGAATATAACCTATGGATTAAATGTGGGTCTATAAGTATCATCCATGAAATTCTTACAGGCAATTTTCATCATGATATTAAAGCACCCCAAACTCAAGAACAAGGAAAAATAAGTTACGCAGAAAACTGAGTTAGGCAGAAAACTGACGGAGAAATTCATAGTTTTCATAATTTTGAATTCATTCTTAATTTTGAATTACAAATCATTCAGACCATAGCTACATATAGACTTTTAGATTGTCACTGCTTTTCTTTTGGTGATTGCATGATATGGTACCCGTCTTGACGTTCTTGGGAAAGGAACCATATCATGCAAGTCCAGGCAGTTGATGTAGTGTTTGCGCATTTTGTCTTGGTCATATGACTGCGCTGTGGGGTCTAGGCCATGGCATAAATCTGTAGCAAATGCCAGTGCAAACAAGCCACAGACATTTGAATTTGTTTGCTTTTGCACTCTTTCATTAGAAAAAGTGACTGTAGAACCAGTATACAATAGCATGCGACATGAATGATCAATGGCAACCGCGCTTACATTTTGATATAAGCTGTCATACACCTTAAGTTGACAGTTCCAGGACTAGTAGCTATTGTGCTCAGGCAAACCCAGTGTGAGCCAGTGTTTATGATCTGTACAAACTCACTAATGGCTGGAGTGACTAATGCACCCACAATAACAGGGTCCCTTAGACCATCTACAAGAGGGAATTTTTGTTTTAGGAGGATCTGACCAACATGTATCTCAGAATCACACAGCCATGTTGTCTTGTTTAAAATGTGATCCTTTGAATCTTCATACAGTCTGTTGGTTAGATCTGGAGGCTGTTGGCCTGTGAAAAGTTCCTTCTTTACATAATGATGCAGGTGCCGTTGCATTTCAGAAACACAATTAACACCACTTCCAACAAGCTCATGAATTTTTTTAACCAGTGTCTCATCAATAGGCTGAAGTAGCCCAGCAGTCTGATTACACAACAAGAAAGAAAGAATAATTGCTTTATTATTTATTCATTTAAAAAATTACACAACCTCATCCCCAGGTTTTCTTGGTCAACGGTTCAATAACCTGGAGCCAGCTGCTTTTGATGTCATTGGTTCAATATGAGAAAATTTTTTCCAAATTTGGTCAACAGCAGCTGGTTATGATGAAATATGTGAGTGGTTTTAACCTTTCAGAAACAGGGAAATATTTTGAATTAATAATAATGCAAATTATACCAACATTACTATCGGCAGTCCTCTGGTAGGGCTTTTCAGTAATAGTTACAGAATGTTATAATTACAGAGTACTGAACACTGTATTTTTTAAGAAAATCCATTTAAAAAGTCCATGATAGCATTCCATTAAAACAGTGCCAGTGGAAATCCCTCTCCGATAAAATTGTGATATTATAGTCTTGACATTGAGTTTGAGGAATGAGTGCCAGTGTAGCTAAAAGAAGCTCTACATGTAGTACATTTTATTGGTCTTTTTTTGTGATGTATAATCTTTATTCATTCTTTATATATATTCGACATGACAGTGGAAGCAGCACAGTCTACAGTAGACTGATGATCTGTGTGAAGTTAAGTCACCTTAAATTCCCCACCAAACTTCAGTTTCCTGATTCCAAAAAAAATTTAATTGATGGCCAAGTACTTACCCTCCCCATGGGGTGAAATAAGTGATCCGTAGGTTTAGGAAGTAATATGTAAATACGCTCCTCTGTAGCTATTGTTTGCTTCTTTTCTGACTCTAGGGATGTTCTCAGAAATTTTGACATTGTCTCCCTTCTACTCTTTGTGTTCTCTGAAATCTAACGATACAATGTTTTAATTAAAATAATATTTGAAAAATTGGTTTCTAAAATATTCACTCTGTTTCCATTACAGGTAAATTTGTTTCAATTCTGCACAATGAAATGTCCGGGTTGTCTTATCATATGTCCACTTCACCTACATGTAACACAAGGCCCATTAGGATTAAGCACCCTTTATTAGGCTAGTGATCATTCATGTTAATGGTAGTGCCCCCTGAACCCTTATTCAATAATTAAAATAAACTGACCTTATTTTCAGGATACTTGATTATTTTCCTTAGGTGGATCTTTGCTGGACACTCACATTTCTTCGTATCCTGTACTATAAAGCGCTGTTTGGTGTTGTTATAGCAGTGATCAGCATTCTCCTTCTGAAACCAAATAAATTTATTGGATTGTTAGATAGAGCAGTCATATGGGAATAGTCAAGTTATCAATAAACTTAGAAGTAATGAAAAGTATCCTTTAAAATAGTACTTGATTCCTACCTTGTAAACAGCAGTCACAGTGGTCCTTTTTTGCGACTTTGCTTATTTTAACAAATGAAATGTGATATGTCCTTTTACTTGCAAGTGGTAAAAAAGAAAACATTATTGCCTGCTATTAGCCCTGAGGGAGAGGTGAGTGCTCACCAACTTGCTTAGAAAAATCAGTTGGGACTTACCACCTTGTTAGCTTAAGAGCAAAATAATTTAATAGGTGAAGGTAAATCAATAACTATGTAATGCCCTACATATGATATCCTCTTTGGGAGTCCTTAAGTAATAATATCATCTTGTTTACATTCTTATTTAGTTAATTATTATGCATGCTTACATCTTTTTGTAGTCTCTTTTGAGCCACCTTCCTTTTGAGTGCCTTATTTCTGTCTGGCCCATTTTGGCATTCTAAAACTTTGACCCCACAATTTGGAATGGGATGCCATCAAAACTTAGTCTGCATCCTGTCATCTCCTGTGAGTCAGCCCATTGTATACGGTGGTTCTTAGCATTTTTATCTGCATTTTCTTTTATGTGAGAAGAGGAACCAAGCTAAGTTAGCAATACGATACATGTACACAAACACATACGTACATATGTACACATGGGTGCTTGAAATGGAGGGCCTGAAAATCAAGCCTGCCCCACCCAGATGTAGCCCAAGGACTGGTGTAATGGATGGGGATGCTGGCAGCTGTGTGTCAATAGCACTGAGTAGGGTTTTGACACTTTAAGCTTGATCTTAATTAATTAAGCATTTCTTGCCAACTCTTGCTGCAGGCTCACAGTAAATTGACACTTGAAGCTAAGTTGAATTTTAATTACATGTTAATTTTGAAAGTCTAACTGACCAGGGTAAACCGAAGAATAATGATGTGTACATGTATTCTTAAGATATCAATAATTATTGGAAAAAAGTTAAATCCCTTTTTTATTTTGATTTATCTATATTTCATTTTAATAACACGATCTCACACGCCCCTGGCTTTAAATACCAATAGTGTCTAAATAAAGTTATACTTCACTTTACTTTACTGTCAGTATGGTTTATTTTGTAAATCTTTACATGTGAGCTTACTTACCCAGCCTACTGCAATTTGAAAATCCTCCTGTTTGTTTAAATACAGTGAAGCGTGTCGTCGTAGCTATCTCGTACTGTTTTATGAGTTCGTCAGCGCTGCTTTCATCGTTAACATACCCGGAATAAGGGTCAAACTGTACGGTCCATCTTGAAGCCCAAGGTGTACTGTTATCAGCCATGTTTGTTCTTCAAACATTTAGATTTCCCGCCAATATTTACCCGCGAGCCGCAAAACATAAATGCATGAGTGTTAAATATTAACTGGACCACCCCTTGGCAAATATATTTATTAGAAGCAAATAAGATGTTGAACAAAAACCAAGAGATCATGGTCAAATAAAACGTAAAGATGATTTATTACAAACAGAAAAGAACTGTATGTTTGTTCCAATCGAAAGATTTTACAGTGCAAAGTTATGCAAATGATCTTTGACCTGAATCTGCTTTTGGTCGATGATAGCGAGGTCAGAGGATAACATCGACCGAAACTATTAGGCCGGTCATATTTAAGTGTCGATCCTCCTTTTAACGCCTTTATAAAGTTATGGGAAGAATACTTTCACAATAAAATATTGAAGAATACGTCGCTTTATCGTCAGTCACACAGGTCACGGTCTCTTGATTCGCCGGAAACGAGCAGAAAAATAGAAGACTCTCGCTACGATTCCGCTGACGTGTCATGGGCTCATCTGGTTTGGGACGATGATATGTATTGCCCTAGGGGTGTTGTCAATTAATCAGATCGACCGAAACCAGGTCGACAACTTACGAACCAGCCAAACATTTCGTTAACAGCGCCATCGATCAAAATGTCATTACACTCCAACAAAAGACCCGCTTTTCTGTTCAAATCTGCCAGAAACTTGCTCAAACGCACTTCCTATTCCATGAGTACACTGTGAAATACGCTTTAACAAGAATAAGCGGAAGTCACGTTGTAAACTGCGGATACTCATACAAGATGCCGCTGATATGTCGTGGGCTCATCTGGTTTAGGACGATGTTATATAGTGCTTTCCTTTTAATCCACGCACTGGCACACTTGGTCATGGCCAGAGAGACTCCAAGTCTTTCTTATAAGGTTTACAGATCGACCGGAAGACTTGACTACTCGTGAGTACAGGCAGAAAACAGCGAATGAAAGTTGTGCTGGATGGCATCGTTCAAGCAGTCAACTCTATAATGAAAGCAAATTTCTGTAGCGCCCCCCTGCCCACTTCCTTTGCTAATTGCACGATTAAATGGAGCCCGCCCTTGAATCCAATCCACCCCTATTCACCTCCTGAGAGTCATTTTATCCACACCCCAAGTCAACTGTTTTGCTTTTACTTACCCATTTCTCACTCTGGCAAGACATGTTATCTAAATTAAGGAAGACAACTTTGTTTTGATAGTCATTGCATAAGGCTTTATTTTATTTACCATTTGAAATTTGTTATAAAGACGATCAACAATGCTCGGCAATCCAAAGCACTTAAATGTGACGCTCTATCGTGGGATAACGCAATGCCTATTAAAATGGTGTATGGAGTAATTGTCTCACTTGTGACAAGTTTGTCTGATTGTGATCTTTCTCCGTGTATTCATGGACAATAAAAACACTATCAAAATAATAACATGCTCTTAAAACTGACTTGTTATTTACTTGTGTATTGTTGTAAAACCCTTTGACTTCCATTGGTGACCAACACAGAATTTCTCCTTACAATGTTATACAATATCAAACAGACAAGTGAAGAGAATTAAGAAAAGTCAAGTGGGGGATTAGAAGTTGATCTAATACCAAATTCTCTGAACTAACATCATAAAAATTGTGTGTCACACAGTAAGGAGAATTACTATTAGGATCTTGGGAAGGAAATGGTTTAAAGCCGCAGAAATATTTTTTGTGCTTGAATTTAAGCATGAATGGATCAGTTAATAAGTTTGGGAACAAGATACCTGTGTTTAAAAAGCAAAATATTTCAAAGAAAGGGTATTTTTGGCTTCAAAAGTGTTCAATTTAAAGTGCAATTTGAGCTAGAGTTTCAAATAAGGGTTACTCATGGTAAGCAGCTAGTCTTTAGTGGTTAAAGCTTCTGTAGATTTTAGGTAGGCTGTTCTGCTGTTCCTAAAATGAGGTCATGCTGATTTTTAATCATAGTTTCACATAGAATTTGAGGAACTGATCAACAGCGTGTTAAGCCCCGTGGTTCCAAAGTGCTTTCTATTCCCTCAGCAACTGGACCAAAAAAAATCATCTTTAAGTTTTAACTTAACAAAGTCATAAAAATTGTACTTTCAGTAATACGCTTCCTGCAACATCAGATTAAAGCATGTTTCACAGATGACCCACTCCCCTCAGAAGTGCGTAGCTTTTCATAGTCCACCCCTCTTTAATACATAAAAATGGTGCTCCCCCTGTTTTTGTGGATCAATGTCAGTTTCTGAGCAACTGGGTACCTACCTGGAAAAGGATTGAGTGATATTTTGAAATGCTTTCATTTCCCCTGTGAAAATATTTCCGTTATTACTATTAATGATTGTTGTTGCCTTTCTTTTAACATTTATTTTCAAATTTCTGTTCAAATAATATGATTTTAGGCAGCATTTCTCTTGAATTTTCTGTTGACTCCCAAGATGCAAAAGGTAGAACGTAGCTAATGGATGCTGCTGTGAATGGCAAGGTTCAAGCAGTTAAGGGTTTAATGAAGATGTCTGATGAAGCTAACGTTTCGAGCGTTAGCCCTTCGTCAATCGCTCTAACGCTCGAAACTTCAGCTGCTTAACTCTTTGCGGTGGCCAATTTATGATATCAACTCAGTTGATACACTAAATTATCTAGTTTTTGAGTAGCCTAGTTAGATATGCAAAGTCAAATTTATTAAACTAGTATACAAAAAACAATAACTATCTTGTGTACTTCAGTGGTTTGCTAAATTATGCCAAAACTGAAGCTAACACAATCGTCAAAGGCTCACTTAATGCGAACATGGGAAGAGGACTGAGGATAAAAAGTTATTAGGTAAAAAACAACCTTTTTACTCGTGAAAAATATACAAAATCACATTAATTTTAAAACGTCTTAAATAGGAAAATAAAGAGGCCGTTAACGTTGCTGAAACCTACACTTCTGTCTTTGAAATTAATACGTCTTAGTAAACAAACACCCTCGTATTTGTGAAATATACATAACATTATATCAATTTTAAAAACGTTTAACTAGATAAAAATAAAATCACCGGTAATATTGTAGACATACACTAGCAGCTTTTCCAGTATAGTACAAGCCACACTAGAGCTTCAAATATTGACAACAAATTGCAACCTAAGAGAAAAAACCAAAGAGTATTTTAGGGAGAGAAATGAAGATTCCTCCGACAATTGAACAAGAACACGCTGCACTAAGAGAATGTATATCTTGATACATATCGTCTCATGCCAAATGCAGCCCGGCACTAACATCGCAACATATGATTCATTCGGATCATTCATATGTTTTAAGCTTATGGCTGTGCTCTGTCCAAATGCCACTGACTTTTGTCTTCGGGTGACTTGTACAACTTTTACTTCATGAAAGCTTTAACAAGCTGGATAGGCAAATTCTGAGAATGATGCCTGTATGCACACAGTGTTGAAATCAACTAGCTTAATGGAACCAAATCATTACACTCAGCCAACATCCCACAGAAAGCCAAGGCTCAAGTGCAACTTTAACGACAGAAGCCATTCCGTACCGAAACTGTTAAACAGCTGACAAGTTGTACAGATTGTACGTAGGTCTAGTTGGTAAAATATCGAATAACACACAGCCTGTTAAAAACTTCCTCCAAAACGGCTTCGAAGTTGACAGAACAAACAAACCAGTAGGTTACATTTTGACATTGAAGAGTTAAGCAAACATAAAATAAGCCGTAACTCTTACTTCACCAACCTGAGTTAATCATTGCCCGTTGTTGACTCACTTTTAGACACGTGACTCTGCAGCAAGTCAAAGCAATCTGGGTCATGTGATGAGGCATGATATAGAGAATCCTGTCCTTTGTTATCTTTAGTCAAAGGATTGGCTCCCCTCTCAAGAAGACACTTTACACACCGCAGCTTACCACGATAAACAGCGATGATAAGAGGTGTTTCACCATCAGCTGTTTTTGAGTCAACGTCCGGCAGGTGAGGAAGGATAAGATCAATGGTAACAGGGTCACCGCCCACTGCGGCATGATGTAACGTGTTCCAACCTTTTTTGCCTTCACAGGCTACAGTTGCTCCCTTCTCAAGAAACCACTTCACTGCATGGAATTTGCCAGAATCAGCCGCCACCATAAGTGGCGTGTAACCTTCGCCTGTTTTTGACTCAATGTTGGGCAGGTGAGTATGGATTAGAGATATAATATCAGTGTCTCCGCCAGCTGCGGCATGATGTAACGTGTTCCAACCTGTTTTGTCTTCACAGGCTACAGTTAGTCCCTTCTCAAGAAACCATTTCACTGCATGTAAATTGCGTGACGAAGCCGCCACCATAAGTGGCGTTTCACCCTCGCCTACTCTTGACTCAATGTTAGGCAGGCGAGTATGGATTAGAGATAAAATATCAGTGTCTCCGCCCTGTGCGGCATGATGTAACGTGTTCCAACCTATTTTGTCTTCACAGGCTACAGTTGCTCCCTTCTCAAGAAACCATTTCACTGCATGTAAATTGCGTGACGAAGCCGCCACCATTAGTGGCGTTTCACCCTTGTCTGTTTTTGACTCAATGTTGGGCAGGTGAGTATGAATTAGAGATATAATATCAGTGTCTCCGCCCTCTGCGGCAAAATGTAACATGTTCCATCCTTTGTAGTCCGTCAAGGAAGGATCTGCTCCCCTTTTAATCATGCTCTTCACGGCTTGAACGTTGCCCTTCGAAGCAGCATTCATTAGCGGCGTTCTGCCTGTTGTGTTCCTGGAGTCAACAGAAAACCCACGAGGAAGCGTCGATTTCATCTCAGTGACGTCACTTTCTTTTTCAGCAGAGTGTAACTGATTCAATTCCTTGTTGTCCTCGCTCACAGAAGTGTCGCCTAAATTCGTATAATGTGAAAGGAAATTAAGATTGGTATCAAACTCCAAGGAGGATGTAGAGACATGAGATTTATTTAAGAACTAGCCCCGTTAGGAGGAAAATTGGGTAACAAGAAAAATTGTAACAATAACAATTATAGTAATACTAATTATGATAATAATAATAGTGACTGATAGGTACAATTGCTCTGGTGATTATGGAGATGCATGCACTCTAGTTGGTCAAGGATTGCGTCACATCTCGCTAAAATCACCTCGCGCGAGGAGATTTCATCATTTCAAACTTCTACTGGAAAATGGTTGATTATCTCGATACGAGTAATCAAAACAAGTGAAACACATTGTTATCAACAAAAGTCCCAAAAGCCAATTAACAAAACGCCTAAAGCAAAGTCTTGATTTGATTGAATTTCAGTTGACGTAAGCGTTACAGACAGGATATGAAAATTATGTTCTATGACTTTTAAATCACTAATTTTCGGAATTTGCCGAGCAGCTATGTTCTTGGTATTGAAGTCTATTGCCTATACAGTTATAAAAAAATCATATCGTGGCTGGCTTCGTTGTGCTTTACAACTTACCCAATTTTCTGTCTAAAAAACAAAGTTGTGCCCCTTCTTACTAAAAGAGGCTCTAAATTAAGATGTTGTGCGAAATTACACGTTGGTCAACATTGGTACAAAGTCTAATAGCAGTACTGCCATATTCCCTTCTTTTCCGTTATTTCCTGCTCTGTATTAATCTTCATTCATCTCCCCCCTCCCCCCCCCGCCCATCCCTTCACATTTCCCAATTCCAAAATTAGTTGAAATACATAAATTGCTAAAAGGCATGTGGTATATACCTTCTACAGCCGTACATGTTGCTTCACAGACTTCCTTTTCATTTTTCAATTCTTCTTCTGTTGAATCACACAGAACTGTACCTGAATCTGACGAATATGAAAAAATATAAATTATGCACATATTAAATCAACCAAACACAGGCAAGGCTCAAATTGTAAACACATTTATTGCAATAGTGCTAACTATAAGTAATAAGTAAGAGAATCTTTTGCTTTCTTTTAGCTTCATTGAAAAAGTCATTAGAGCGACGAGAATTTTGTAGAAAAGGGATACATGGAAAATTGTTATTGATATGTTTGATCCATTTGTGCTGGATGACATGTAAGCAAACGTGAATACATGTAAATAGCTCTTCTTTGATCACCATTGTTCTATGTTTGAGAACTAACTCATTTGTTTTCTAATAGTGCTTTCATTAATAAAGTTTTACCGGTATCTCCGTACATTTCCTTTTAAGTTGAAAGTAAAGCAGAAATACCAGAAGCTTTTAAAGAAATACTACACATGTTATATAGCTTCATCCCAATCAGCAATTACTGGTACACGAAGGTCTTTGCTTCACCACACTTAATAACTTTACATGCATTTCCTCGAATAAGCACCTAGGCACGAATTATTTCAAGTTGTGGCTAAAAGGAAGGTCGCTTATTAAAATCATATAAACTATAAACTGTTCTGATTTGACTTTAGTTGAAGATTTCTAAAGTTGTAAATAAAGTGGAAATAGAATCAGGTTTTCCATCTATTTTGGACAGTAAGAGAGAAGGGGATGATGATTATTCGATGGGGGGGGGGAGGGGTGTCAGTGCTCTTGTTTGATAAGTTGACCTCGCTCACAAAAGTTTCACCTAAAATCAACAATTTGAAAAGAAATTAAGAAAGGCAAATTATGCAAGAAAGGTGTAGAGAGGGGAGAGTTGTAACACAACTAGTAACTTTAAGGGGGAAATTAAGACCGAGTAAACGTTTAAGTTGTAGAACTGTTATCAATGTGGACCTTGTTAGACAGAAATTTCTTATATAGTTGAATTGCAAATCGAGATACACCCATCTTGATCTTATGTTAGAGATTTTTCATCAAGACTGATAGTAATCTGCTGTATTGTTGTCTAAACGTGCGGTCGAAGCTTGGTCGATATTAAGTGTGTCAATTGTGTCAAGTTTTGGCCCTTGGCCATCACTTTGGTATTCAGTCAAGTTGTTCTATTTGCCATCACGTTTGGTAATCAAAAATAGTCCCAACTGCTCGTTAACTACACAGCTAAAGCGAAGCCTCGAAAAGGTTTGTTTTCAATTGCTCAAAGTGTTACAGACAGGATATGAAAGTTATGCTACAGAAAAGAATTTCTTCAAAGCCCTGGCATTTTGGAAAACTTTCATAGTTCAGTCACTTTCTATGACATCTGAATCACTACGTATAAGTATTCACCGACCAGCCTTATTCTTTGTATTAGAATTTATTAACAGTTATAATTAACCCTTTACACCCTAATATCAATATGCATATTCTCCATACTTTCTCTACACATTTCTTAAGGTTCTGAAAAAGAGAATTTGTCTAACAATCAAGAGCTTCTTCTTGTTGATCATTTCCCTTATTCTCATGACCTTAATGTTTGAATCAGGGGTGATCTTGTAAGGAGAAAATAGATGCCAGTCACTCTTAGGTGTTAAAGGGTTGAATGTCATGACTTGTAAAGTTTACTCACCTTGAACAGACTTTGTTTGTTCATTCCCATCAATTCTTTTTCTCTTTAAAGAGGTGTTTGGAGCTTTTTCTGTGGAGAAAGAAGAGAAATATCATATTATATGGAATGCCAACTAGTTTGGAAACCTGCAACCAGACTTCCATTTAGGAGACAAGAAAAAAGTAGAAATGATGGATGTCTTAACGTCCGTTGAGCTCTCTCACTTCCACACTCTTTCAATGTTACTTTCTGTCCAAGAGGAGGCTTTAAATGACAATGTTATGAGAAATATATATTGATCAATTTTGTGTATCAAAGGGATTAAACCAAAGCGACAAAATAGGAATGTAATATAAAGTAAGAGGAAAAAGTCTAATATCCCTGAGGAGTCCCAGTCCCTCCCATATAGTTCTTCCTGGTTGTTTTATCCAGGATGTTCTCCCCAACCCCCCTTCCCCCTTCATATTTCACATTGGTTGAAATACATAAATTGCTGATAGGCACGCGGTGTCTTCCTTCTTCAACTGTACCTGTTGCTGTCCAAACTTCTTTTGTATTTCTCTGTGCTTGTTTTGTTGAAACATATGCAGCTGCACCTGCAACAATCAGTTTAGGTTAAAAAGACTTGTTTTAATACTCCAATGTAAACGAAGCAGTTACATGTTCAAAATCCACACAAAACTCACGTCCCCGAATCCGTATATTATTATTAGATCATTAGAGGGGCACTCATTGGAATGAGTTCATGTGCATGTGCATATGTTCACTGCCTATAGATATGACCCAGTTATTTAAGCCTGTGTACCTCCAACAGTATTTTGTCACAGTACCTGAATCTCATGAATACCGAAAATACAAACTATGCAGCCATTAAATGAACCAAACACAAGTAAGACTCAACTGTTTCACATATTTACTATATCAGTGCTAAGTAGAAGTGAGAGAATATTTTGCCTCCTTTCAGCTTCATTGAAAAAGTCAGAAAAGTGAGAAGCAATTTCGTTTCTTCACCGCAGTGCAAAGATGAATTTCTTATATCTAAAATCATCATTCATCACTTGGATGGTCTATTTGGACCCAACATATTGACCAGTTCCCAGTTGGCTTATTAGCTCAGTTGGTAGAGCACTGCACCGGTATCACAGAGGTCATGGGTTCAAATCCCATACGGGCCTGAATTTTTTTCAGGTCCTATTTTCAACTACTCGTTTCAGTAGTGTTCTTAGCTGCGAGGATCTCTTAATTTCGAGAGTGAGAAGTGTTGTAACCACTACCTCATATTCTTTTTCATTGCTACAAGGCTTTATCTACTCACTCAATCTCTTTCTGGAGTTCACTGAATAGTGCTTTGTTTAATAAGTGTTGGGATAATAAAGTTCTACCGGTATTTCCATACATTTCCTTATAAGTTGAAAGTAAAGCAGAAACAGCTACAGAAGTTGAACATACATTATACTAAATAGATTCATCCCAATCAGCAATTACACACAGGTCTTTGCTTTTCCAAATTTAATAGTTTTAGAAACATAACTCTCTTATTTAGTTAAATTGCATCATTGACAAATCGAGATTAGTTTGTTGCACCCATCTTGATCTTATGTTTAAAACTTTTCAACAGAACTGATATTAATTCGCTGTATTGATGTTTAACTGTGTGGTAAAAGCTTGGTCGGTATCAATTGTGCTAATTGTGTCTAGTTTTGGTTGTGATTGAAAATGCCTGTTAGCTGTCACTTTGGTATTCATTCAAGTTGTCCTATTTGCTATCAGGATTAATGATAAAAATAGTCCTTGCTGCTTGTTAACAACACAGCTAAAGCGAAGCCTGGACTTGGTATGTTTTCAGGAGCTCAAACTGTAACAGACAGGATATGAATGTTACGCTACAGAAAATAGTTTCTTCATAACCTTGGAATTTTGGGAAACTTTCATAGTTCAATCATGTCCTATGACATCTGAATCACTAATTTGCAGCATTCACCAACTGGCCCTATTCCTTGTATTAGAGTTTATTGACAGTTATAATTAAATGACATGAGGTGTAAAGTTTACTCACCTTGAACAGACTTTGTTTGTTCATTCCTATCAGTTCTTCTTCTCTTTAAAGAGGTGTTTGGAGCTCTTTCTATGGAGAAAGGAGGGAAATATCACATTACAGTAACCACCCGCGTATAAGAACCTAGTGATTTAAGAACCTACAGGCTGAAATTGGGCATTTTAGTACCCAAATATATAAGAACCTATTTAGGCTGGCAAAGAACAATAGGTTCTTATACAAAAAAACACTCTTATTTTGTAGCCAAAATACTGGATTTTAATTGATAGAAATTGTGAAATTTCTGAGAAACACCATGAAAATTATTTGTTTAATTGAAAATCTTATAGATACAGAGTATAGAATACTGTATAAAATTATAATGTTTTAGCCTTGGGACTTGAATCTGTAGAGTGCCCTGACTTGCTCCCGTGAAATACACATTACTGCTTGTCTTTTTTTCAGTCCAACTGTAACAGTGATACCCTATGATACTGAATTTATTATTGTTTAAAAAATAAGGCTTGGCATTTTTGCTGTTTAAAATACAAATGTTCAACCATCATGACATACTAGTACTACAGTAGTTCTCTGAATGGTATCACTATGACAACTCCTACAAATAAGAACCTACTAAGAACCTAATCAGCCTGAGTTCGGAAAAACTACCCCAAAATATAAGAACCCATTCAGCCTGAACCCAAAAATTCTAGGTTCTTATACGCGGGTGTTTACTGTATAGAATGCTACCTGGTTTGGAATCCTGCAAACAGACTTCCGTTTAGAAGACAAGAGAAAAGTAGAAATGATGGATGTCTTAACGTCTGTTATGCTCTCTCACTTCCACATTGTTTCAATGTTATGTTCTTTTTTTAAAATCAATCTTACCCCCTTTTTGCAAGAGGAGGCTTTAAATGACAATGTTATGAGAATTATATATTGATCAATATTAACCAAATATTAAAGGAATTAAACCAAAGCAACAAAATAGGAATGTTACATAAAATAAGAAAAAAACTCTAATATCCTTGAGGAGTTCCAATCCCTCCCCTATAGTCCTTCCTTCCTTCACAACCCCCCTTCCCCCTTCATATTTCACATTGGTTGAAATACATAAATTGCTGATAGGCTCGTGGTGTATTCCTTCTACAACTGTACCTGTTGCTGTCCAAACTTCTTTTGTATTACTCTGTGTCTTCTTTGTTGAAACATATCCAGCTGCACCTGCAACAATTTAGTTAAGGTTAAAAAAAAACATTTTAATACTCCAATGTAAACAAAGCAGTTACATGTTCAAAAGCCACACAAAACTCACAACCCCAAATGCACAATTATTATTGTTAGATCATTAGTAGATCACTCATTGGAATGAGTTCGTGTGCACGTGTGTATGTTCACTGCTTATAGATGTGACCAAGTAAGTTATGCCTGCATACTTCCAACAGTATTTTGTCACAGTACCTTAATCTCATGAATACCGAAAAATACAAACGAACTAATTATGCAGTCATTAAATGAACCAAACACAGGTTAAGACTCAAATGTTAAACATATTTACTATATCAGTGCTAAGAAGAAATGAGAGAATATTTTGCCTCCTTTCAGCTTCATTGAAAAAGTCAGAAGAGTGAGAAATGTTGTGGAAGAAAGAGTTAGGCAAGCATGAACATATTGACATTGTTTCATCCAATTGCTAAATGACCCATAAGCCAAAATGAATACTGCAAGTAAATTAAGCTCTTCTTTGATAACCAATTGTGTCATTTTTGGAGACAACCAACTCCTTCTTCGTTGCTTCAAGGCTTTATCTACACAACCAGTCTCTTTCTGGAGTTCACTTAAATAGTGCTTTGATTAATAGGTGTTAGGATAATAAAGTTCTACAGGTATTTCCATGCTTTTCCTTATAAGTTGAAAGTAAACCAGAAACAGTTACAGAAGTTGTACATATATTTAATAGCTTCATTCCAATCAGCAATTACACAAAGGTCTTTTCTTCACAAAATTTAATAGTATTAGATAATACATTTCCTTGAATTAGCACAGTTTTTTGTAAAAGGCAAAATCAGCAACTGTGACTTTCTACACATTGATCAGGCATAAAAACCTGAGCCTTGTAGACCTTTTCTTCCGAGCCATTCTATAGCGAAAGTGAACTGTTTACCTTAAACACCTCCAAATTAAAGGGTACTAGCTTGTAGTTCACTGGAAAGACTTAACACTTCTGGTTCAAATTCCCCACCCCAGCCTGGCAGTACAGAAAGGCAGGGGGTTTGCCAAGAACAGGGTTGTTTACCATTTCACCAAACAAAGCAGTTGGATGACTAATAAATACTAATAGATTAAGACTTCTAGGGAGGCACAGCTTAATGTTAGGTGGATCAAAAGCAAGATGGAAAAAAAGAGGCTTTTTACAATGTGGAATATTAAATCCATCAAGGTAAAGCAGAGAAAAAACATCTTCCTAGCCATCTTCCTCCTCCTTTTCCATTTGCTCCTCCCCCAATTTCCTTTTTTCCTTCCCCTTCTTCCTTTCTTATTCTACCTATGGTTTTTTCCTCTCCCTTTCCTCTTGCTGTCCCTTCTTTTTTTTTTGTTTTCCTCTTTTTTTTCCCTCTTAAGATTTAGGAAAACCCTCCATTAGTGATCTTTCCCAGATTTGCCAGTCATTAATTAAATTATTTACTTCTTGTAAAAACTAGTCACTAGCAGAAAATCCTAACTTGAACCTGCCAAAAAAACTTGAAGTAGGGACTTCCCCCTTTTAATTAGTTTTGCACAAGTGTCAAGATGAAGAGGAAATGTTAGGCAACTTAAGTATTTTCAGGCTAGCAGCCAGGTCAAAATTAGTAATTAAAATCAGCTGAAGAGAATTGGTAATTATGAGGTACAACAACTATTTTGTAAGTTTCAAAACAGTTTAGTTGCCAACTATTTCATTTTCGCCATGCAGGTCTTTTCTGTTTGCTTCCCCACACTATCCTCCATGTCTGTGCTTACTCAAAGTAGATGTTGCTGGATTTATGCAATTACACTCCCATTATGTTTCCTCATAAATACTAACCTTCAAGTCAACCCCCTTATTTCACACATTTACCACTTAATATCAAGCTCTATGCCTGATTATCATATAGCTTGCAACACCGGTGGGCAATATGAAGCATCAGTTTCAAAACTCTACACAGTGTCCAATCTACATTATCAACTCTGTAGTCCCTTCTTTTCAGTAATTTCTTGCTCTTTATAAATCTACATTAATCTCCCCGCCCATCCCTTCACATTTCCCAATTCCAAAATTGGTTGAATTCATAAATTACCCATACGCATATGGTACCTACATGTACCTTCTAAAGCCATACTTGTTGCTGCACGGACTTCTTCTGGTGAATCACGTGGAGCTGTACCTGAATCTGATGAATATGAAAAAAAATAGAAATCATGCCCTCATGAAATCAACCAAACACAGGCAAGGCTCTAATTTAAACACATTTACTATATTAGTGCTAATTATAAGTATAAGGCAGCGAAACTTTTGCCTCCTTTTAGCTTCATGCAAAAAGAAGAATGACGAGAATTTTGTAGAAAAGGGATACATGGAAAATCGTTATTGATATGTTTGATCCATTTGTGCTGGATGACATGTAAGTAAACGTGAATACATGTAAATAGCTTCTTTGATCACCATTGTTCTATGTTTGAGAACTAACTCATTTCTCTTCAAATAGCGCTTTGATTAATAAAGTTCTACAGACATTACCGTACACATCCTTTTAAGTTAAAAGCAAAGAAACTGAACGACCAATAACTTTTACATGCATTTCCTCGAATAAGCACCCAGGCACGAATTACTTCAAGTTGGGGCTAAGAAGGGGTGCTTATCAGAAGGAAGTCGCTTAATCCAGGGGGTGTTTAGTAAGAAACTAGAGACTCTACTGATTTGGCTGTAGTTGAAGCTTTATAAAGTTGTAAATAAAGTGGTAATAGAATCAGGTTTTCCATTTAGTGTGAACTTGTGATGGTTTGGCACTTTTGACAGCTTTTGTCTTGTATAGCCAATCAGATTATTTAAACCATTCTAACAGGGATTCTGATTGGCTTATTGTAGCGTGCTTTATGAGAGTATAGAGCATGCTGACGACACTGTTGTTTGCTTAGGAAATAAAGTTTGTTTGAAAATTGAAATTAATGCTTGGGAAATTTAACAGATTCTTTACTATAAGACAAATAGAAAAGCCTTGACTGTGCTCTGTTCTGTTATAAAGCACTTAGGAAGCGGCTAGAGCACTCAAGAAGTGAAGAGAAACACTCGACTACGTCTCGTGTTTCTCCCTACACTTCTTTCGTGCTCTAGCCGCCTCCTGCTTGCTTTATAACAGAACAGAGCACAGTCAAGGCTTCTCTATTTGTTAAATAGAAGATGCATATAATTCTATCTTTGAAACAATGTAAAGCTGATTTACCAGATTTTTTTCATTATTTTAAGAGCTTTTCTGTGGCATACTTGATTCACTGATTTGCTCCTTACAATGCTCCTGACAGTTACAGTCTTACTGTAATATTCCTAAATGTCACATGTCATGTAAAGTTTACTCACCTGGCACACACTCTCCTTTCTTATTTTCAATAAGTTCTACTTAGCTATTTTGTTAATTTGAAGAAAATTAAACAAACTAAGCATGTTATTAACTCAGTTTTCTGCTCAAAATTATTCTGAACTTATCAATTGTTAATCAGATAATACCTACAGACTTCAAGTCAAACCTTCAAAAACATTTAAGCATGAAATGTTACAGCAGTGTTTTATAACTCTACTCTCTGACGTCAAAAATCTTTTGCACAGTTCAAATAATATCATGCAGGCTTATTTTTCAGGAAATAAGTAAATTAGGGTATAATCTGCAATGTTACAATTTCATTCACCCACCTGGTGCAGATTCACTTTGTTCCCTTCCATCTCTTTTCCCAACTTGTACGCCACTGTGTGGAAGATTGCCTACCGAAAGTGAAGAGAAATATTTCTCAGATAAGCTGATAATAGCTAGCCTACATATTATTAGCTGCCAATCATTTTGAAGCTCCAACATTTTAAGAGATTTTAGTATTAATTTTTTAGGAGCCTAAAGCTATTTATTAAGTTTCTTATTAATTTGATTAGATAACTAAACACATGACCCCATAAGTGTTTAGCTTTTATTATTGATCGTGTTTAAATAAAGTTGATGTATGTATGTATTCTAGGTATGCACATCCTCCCCTCTTCTGAGCAACCCATGGGCAAATGCCTGTGAGGTTACCCAAGGTGTTGTCTGTGGGAGGGATGTTGAAACTTTGAATTGATGGCACATAACAGTTTGCAAAATTTTAGATGACGCAATTCTTCTTTCATCACAAAATTGTTAAATTGATGTGTATGCTTTAAAAATATATCTGAAAATACTAATTTTTATAAATAATTTGACTTTTTTAGACCTGTATCCTTGAGCAGATGCTTTTATGAAATTATGGTCTAAGGGGTGATTGCTTATTTGGGGGAGGGCACTTATTAGAACATGAGCACTTGTTCAAGGAAATACAGTTCGTCATCTTGCAAAAAATTTTTTAAATGAGTGATCTCCCTCATGATCATTTTTTCAAAAATAACAGTAAGGGCATTGATAAGTAGCAACCTTCAGTCACCAATAACAAGAATTGGAGACAGTTCCTGATCATTTAATAGTTATGCACTTGAAAGTACACAATTGTTTCTCTTACAGAGGAATAAATCTTTCTTGGGGAAGTCAGTAGCTATAATTCTCACAGTGCAAATATTCTTTGAAATTGACTTAGACATTATAGTTATCATTACTAAAGCAAGCCTGTGATTACAGAAAGTTACTGTTATCAAATTTCCACACCATGTCATATTCTTGTGGTTCCTATTGCCACTTTTTGCAAATTAATTGCCACTGCAACTGTATTATCTCGAGAAGGTTAATACTTTTGATCAGAATCTCTGCAAACTAAATTTTTTGTTTGATGAGGAACATTTACAGCACAGTATGCTACCGTCTGCCAAAAATTTCCCAAATGACAAGGTATGGGATGGTTAAATTGTCAAAATCGAATATTACGTGGCAGATTGCACTGCAAATCTTTATTACCATCAGCTTTTTGTGTTCTAAACCATTTTGAATAGTATTCATTAAAAATGGCTTAGGTTTAGAGATGTTTTTCCTCCAAAATGGCCTTTCAAATACACCCCCTAATTCCATTAAATTACACCAATTCCATGGAACTGAGCAAGATAATTTTCTCTTCAGATTGTGTGTAGAATCATATATCCCATGTGATAATCTCAAGTCATTCTAAAAACTCTGCCAGTAAATATTTCATTAATGATTTGAGACAAAATTCATTCAATTTAGTGTCCATTATCACCTTGAAAGTGATAACAATGAATTATTACAACCACTCTGTTCATACATCCTAGACAGATAGAGAAAATTTACAGAAGGAATGATTAAATACATCACCTATTCTTGGAAAGGCATGTTATAGAAGTCATAGATCATGAACAGACAGAAATTTTTATATGATTAACAAAAATTATCAAGATTCTTAATGAAATAAATTTCAGTTTGACCTGTGTATGAAATTCAGTTGCAGAAATGATCCTTAAAGGTGCTACATTGTAATTCAACCCTTTAACTCCCAACATTGGATCGTTCATAACCAAAACACTGATGATGGTCAAAATCCTCTTTTAAAGCAATGTTCTAAAGCAAATTTCTTATCTGCTGAAGTATCCACCCCTCTTTAGTGTGTAATCACTCATTATTCTCAAAAAACTAGAAATCTGCTTTATACCAACCAACCAGATGACACAATAGCATTCTTGAATTAGAAGACACATCACCATATATTTGTGGAGTGGTTGGTCACTAACATCTGTAGAGGCTGGATAGTTTAAAAAAAAAGTAAAGGGCTCTGATCACAATTTTTAATAAAATGTTTTATTCGAGACATTTTGGTTGGAAAATGTCCTAAGATATGTGAGCTGACAATCAAAGTTTGTGACGCAACCCGGAAGTTAAATTCCTCTACTTTCTACTTCAGGAGTGAATTGCTGATCATGGAATATAGATCCATATTTTAAATGAACGATTTATCCTCCACAAATGTCTTCATGGTGTCTAAAAAATGAGATTTCAATCGAAACACATCTCTCGTGCGTGAAAAGCTAAGCATTTCAACAGAACGAAATTCCACAATCCTAAAATTAAGGTGTTTCAAAGACAACGGATAATCCGTCAGTTATTCGGACAAGTGGACCGAAAACAAACACAATTCATGAGTTGACAAAGAAGAGCTTTACGCGAGTTTCCAGCCGACGCAAACGTTGCAAACTCAGCACGTTTGTAAGGTGCCACAAACGCTGGGAATCTGAGATTTCAAATTTGCATGTTTTCTCACGATAAATAGCTCAAAGACAACGTACATGTACACATTTGACGATATCAATCTTAATATCTGAAAGTGGCATCGAACAGGTCCTCAAACGTACAGACATAGTAATTTCCTCAATCGAATACCTTTGATTTGCTGAAGCACATGTAAACTGTTGCTGATTATTGCCACTGTTTTTCACTGCTAAAAGCCTCTAAAAGGAATGACCACAACTTCGCAGGGTTTTCATTTACTTTTGAAGTAGATGGGCACTGCCTCGTGAATAGGCGGGTACCCTGTAAAATTGAGGGCCGAAGGTCCAAACCTCTGGGGGGGTCCGGGGGCATGCTCCCCCGGGAAATTTTTAAAAACGTAAGTCTTCCAGAAGCGTATTTTCCTGCATTCTGGAAAAGAAATCTTGCTATGACGCATACTTACTCTAATTATAGTAAAAAAGAATGATACTCTGGGAGAATTTGTTTATTTCACTATACAGCTATAACTACATGAAAACACTGCTGTTGTTCTCTGAGCCTCCTTTCTTCTTACAGTAACAATCTGACTTAAAATTGTAAACTGATAAAGAGTGTAACTGGTAAATTTTCAGCGTCAGTACAGGCCGAAGCGGATTTTCACGTTTGAAATGTTTGATATGTTTTTTAATGTTTTTCTTGGCTTAATCTTGAGAGAAAATTAATTTGGAAAAAAATTTCTTTCAAGTTTTTTTCACTTGCTCGGAATGTTTAAGCTTTGAAAGCCAACAAAATGTTGGCTTATTGGGATGTAGTACAAGCTAACTACTGTTACAAGCTAACTACTGTTACAAGCTAACTTAAACTTATAAACTGATAAACTGGCAAATTTTCAGCGTCAGTACAGGCCGAAGCGAATTTTCACGTTTGAAATTTTTGATATGTTTTTTAATGCATTTCTGGGCTTGATCTTAAATGAATATTAAATTGGAACAAAGTTTCCGTCAAGTTTCTTTCACTGATATTTTTTAAAAGCTTTGAAAGCCAACAAAACGTTGGCCAGTTACACTCTTTTACGGCGACATTCTTCTCATGTAGTTTATTTTATGAACAGTTTAAATAATGGAATGCAAAGAAAGAATATGTGATTTTTTCATAAAATCATTTCACCGGCTGTAATTCAATTAAAACTGGAAAACATAAAGTTAATTGTCATTGCACTTGACCTTTCATATGCAATTCAAAAACTCATTAATAATTCATAAGCCCATTAACCTATCAAATGGTAGATAATACATCACGTGCAGTGACTTTATATCGATAAACCTCATCCTTATTAGTATGCGGTGTTTTATCAGATATAAAGACACTGCACGTGACTTATGAATATTAATTAATTATCAACACAGAAACTGACACAACAAATGGTGGGAACATATTTAATGTTCTTTCAACAAATTTCACACAGTATATTTACTTTTGCACCAAATTAATAGTACAGTTGTGAAATACACATCTGGAAAAATTCTCTATTCCATTAGTACAGTACAGTATGCTAATTTCTAACGTTCACAAAAGCATAATTGTTATGAACTCTCTTGACACACGCTTTTCCAAGAATGTTTTTGAAGCTGTTCAAAAAACTCACAGCACGTGTTTTATCGGGTCAAAAACCACTCGGCTACGCCTCGTGGTTTGAAACCCGATAAAACACTCCTGCTCGTTTTTTAAACATTACATAATGCTTGCGTGTTTCGCTTCAAGGAAAGTGAAAACAATATATTTGCAAAGATGCTCAAAACTAACTTTTAGACTTCTTGTATGCAAATGACAAAAAAGAATCCAGGACGCCTTGAGTTTTTCATTCGCTTGCTACGCTGACTCCGCAGAACGCACTTGCTTTTAAACGTGTCGCACGTGACGTGCAAGAGTCATGTAATGGCTAATTAAGCACTTCAGGAAGAACGCGATCGTCGCGCAGCGCCTTCTCGTCACAGTAAATTTTATTTCCACGATCTGATAGCAAGTTATCGGTACATTTGTGCTAAAAAATGGTTTTAAACTTACAGGGAAGAGTTAATAGTCAGTGAGGTTGATAATTTTTTTCTTGACGATTTTTTTTTTTAAATTTCGTACTTTGAGTAGGCGGGTACTCTGTTCAAAGTAAACGGGTGCAAGTACCCAGGACCCGGTTTCTAATAAAAACCCTGATACTTCGGCGGTGAACCAATCACTCGAAGACATGATTACGAGCTGGATAAATATGGAGCTCAACCATTGATTGACGCAAACGCTCCCTCGCAAGGAAGTCAGCTCAGTCAAAGATAAACCTTCCACATTGATTGTGAAAGAAAATATCGCTATGGGTGGGTGTGTTATTCTTGATTAATTTAGTCACATGATTAATTTACCATAGATGATGCGGTCGGTGGACTACGGGACGGTGGATTAGAGAATTTGCCTGACAACGTTCTTTGAGAGTTAAATGAGTACGATACTGGAATGCGGTTAAATGATAACCTACAAATATTGACACTCATTTGATAATATTACAACAAAATGAAACGGACAATTCATCTTTTTTACAGAGAATTACTCATGAAATTGGGAGTAATAATTTGGATATCTGCCATATACTGCATGTCTGAGGGTAATTATAATTAGTATAAGTAGTATTTCTGCGACAGTTTCTGGTCTTTCTACTTTAAGAGGATTTGTTTAACTTAGAGTTTATTGACAGTTATAATGAACCCATTACACCCTAATATCAGAAGGCATATTCTCCATACTTTTTCTATACCTTTCTGAATAGGAAAAATTGTTTCACAATCAAGAGCTTCTTTAGTTGCTGATCATTTCTCTTATTCTCCTGACCTTAATGTTTGAAACAAGGGTGATCTTGTAAGCAGAAAATAGATGCTAGTCACTCTTAGAGGTTAAAGAGTTAAATGACATGCGTTGTAAAGTTTACTCACCTTGAACAGACTTTGTTTCTTCATTCCCATCAGTTCTTTTTCTCTTTAAAGAAGTGTTTGGAGCTTTTTCTGTGGAGAGAGGAGAGAAATGTCACATTATGGAATGCTACCTAGTGTGGAGACCAACAAACTTCCATTTAGAAGACAAGAAAAAAGTAGAAATGATGAATGTCTCAACGTCCGTTGTGCTGTCTCACTTCCACATTGTTTCAATGTTACTTTGTGTCCTTGGAATCAATCTCTTCCCCTTTTTGCAAGAGGAGGCTTCAAATGACAATGTTATGAGAAATTACATGTTGATTAATTTTGAGTGTTTTGTAGTATTACTAAATTATATGTTTGACCCATTGGTGCTGAATGACCTGTAAGCAAATTCGAATACATGTAAATAGCTCTTCTTTGATCACCATAGTTCTATGTTTGAGAACTAACTTATATCCTTTTCATTGGTAGAGGCTTTATCTACACACTTAATCTCTTTCTGGAGTTACTCAAATAGTGCTTGGTAAGTAAGCTTTATCCACCACAAACATATTCAAGCCGTCTTTTTGAAGTATTTTTCGATCTCTTTGGTTACTCCCAGTACGAATCTGTCCATCAATATGAGAGAAGGGTAACCAAATTGAGTGCTCAGGTCACATAAATTACCCTGTTTACAGAGATCTATGGAGTACAATTCTGCAAATTGAACACCATACATTTCTAGGTCGGATATTCAAAGAGATTTGTTAATTCTGGTAAGCTATTGGCTTAACAATTTATTTACTTCTTTGTGCTAACCCAAAATAAAGGAGTTGGATCAGTTTGCTAAAAAATGTCAAAAGGTCATGAGGTCATCTCAGTGTTGCCTCCCTCCATCCTCAATCCCATCTCTCGATTAAATAGAGAGAGCACAAGTATAAGATATGATCATTAAATTTCTTGAATGATACCTGTCTGAGTTAGGTGAAACAACAAATTTGTACACATGCTTGAGGGGGCATTAAAAAAATATAACATGCAAACCTCTGCTAATGTGTTTTAAAGCAATGACAAAGACAATGCCCTATTTATTCAGTTAAAGACAGCTCTCCAAAACACTTTGTATGTGCTCACCTGAACCCTGCAGCAAAAACTTTCGTGCAGCAATGTACTCCTCCCCCTCAATAGTTGTTATCAGTTTCAGCTCAGTCAAGTCAAACTCCTTCAGAACGTCCCTTGTCACAAGATATTTCTGTGCCATGTCATTCAGGTGACCTGTGTAATAGTCATACCACAGGGCATCCAGTATCTCCAATGAACTACATAGTGCTGTCAATATCAAACTTCCTGGTTGCACATCCAGAACCAGAACTTTGCGCACTTCCTTTAAATACTGTAGAAAGCCATTTGATTCCTCAGGTTTAGATGGGTCAACTATCTTGAAGTGCTTGAGTGCGATGAAATTCAAAACCTCTTGTGCATTGGGTACAGCCTCGTTTCCAACACCTACATGTACTTCTTCAACGCTTCCTGCTCTTCCTACGAATGGTTGACCAGCTGATGCAACAGATTCCACTGCCTTATGCTTAACTCCAGTAACTAACAACTCGTGACTTCCTGCCTGGCTATCCTGTGTGTCTTGAGGTGTTCCTTCTGACATTTTAGTAACTACCAGCCCATCGCTACCAGCCTGAGTACTCTGACTGGCTATAACCACTGTCCCTGATGTCTCAAGTCGTGGATGAGGATCTGGGATGGTCCCACAATCAATCCATATTGGAATTTTAACTGTAAGGGGAAAGTTCAATCATTTTCTATGACATCTGAATCACTGATTTGCAGTATTCACTGACCAGCCCTATTCTTTGTATTAGAGTTTATTGACAATTATAATTGACATGCATTGTAAACTTAACTCACCTTGAACAGACTCTGTTTGTTCATCCCCATCAGTTCTTTTTCTCTTTAAAGAGGTGTTTGGAGCTTTTTCTGAGGAGAAATGAGAGAAATATCACATTAAGGAATGCTACCTGGTTTGGAAACCTGCAAATAGACCTCCATTTACAGGACGAGAAAAAAGTGGAAATAATGGATGTCTTAACGTCTGTTGTGCTCTTTCACTTCCACATTGTTTCAAAGTTACTTTCTGACCTTAAAATCAATCTTGCCCCCTTTTTGCAAGAGGAGGCTTTAAATGACAATGTTATGAGAAATAACGTGTTAATCAATTCTGGGTATTAAAGGGATTAAAACAAAGCAACAAAATAGGAGTGTTACTTAAAAAAAAGGAAAAAGTCTAATATCCCCAAGGATTCCCAGTCCCTCCCCTATAGTCCTCCCTCATTGTTTTATCCAGGAAACCCCCCTTCCCCCTTCCTATTTCGTATTGGTTGAAATATATAAATTGCTGATAGGCACGTGGTATATGCCTTCTACAGCTGTACCTGCTGCTGTGCATGCTTCTTTTGTATTTCTCTGTGCTTTTTTTGTTGAATCATGTGGAACTGCACCTGAAAAAATAAGTTTAGGTTAAAAGACAATTTATTACTCCAACGTAAACCAAGCAAATACATGTTAAAAAGCGAAACAAAACTCATAACCCCGAATGCCCATATAATTATTGGATCTTTAGCAGCACACTCATTGGAATTAGATCATGTGCAAGTGCTTATGTTTGCCACTTATAGATATGGCTTGGTAATTTACGCCTGCATACTTCCAACAGTATTTCATCACAGTACCCGAATCTCATGAATATGGAAAAATACAAATTATGTAGTCAATAAATGAACCAAACACAGGTAAGACTCAAATTTTACTGACCCTAAAACAGACACCAACCAAGTTGGCCATGCTTATTCAACTTTCAAAAGTACCTGCTTTATGTCTTGAGTAAAGTAACTACAGAAAGTACTTCCCATGCAAATGTACTTCACTTAGTACATATTTAAAAACTGCAACACTGGTCCTAATCTTGTGGGTAAGATTATTACATAAACAATTAAGTTTACCTCTCCTGAGTATTTACCATTTTTGACCATTTGTTTGATTCAGTTCTATAAAGAATTTATGGTTATCGTGGGTCCAAGTTGAGTCAACACTGATTCAACTTTTATCAGACAACCTGGTTTATCAGTTATCAGACAAGTTAAGGCTGAAACATTTAAATTTAAGTAAATTTACCAAAAACAAGGTTCTTCATCTTTATCACAAGACTCTTACAAGGCTCCTCCCAGCTATACTTCTCCAAGTACTTTTCACGTAGAAATCTTGACTCTGAAAGTCGCACGTCTCTCTCTTTCTGACGGACACGCTTGATTTCTCTGGCCCACTCTTTAGGATCTTCAGAGTCTACCACACTCTGTGGGCCAAAAGGTACTTTCTTCAGAGCTTCTCCAAGCCCTGAATTACCACTGACAAGTATAGGCAGACCAGCAGATAACGCTTCCAGAGCTGTTGTTCCAAAACCTTCCGTCCTGGATGGCATTATTGCAAGATCTACTTCACAGAATAAGTTTGCCAGCACTTCTCTGTTATCATCAAAGCTGCAAACAATAAGCTGATTACGACTAATGCCATGGTGGAGCAAATTTTCAGCTACAATATCTCCTTTTCCTCCAGCTGCACAGACAAACTTGAGTTTGTATGATTCGTCTTTCAACTCGGCAATTGCTTTGGCAGCTATGTCGTACCCTTTGACATTGAAGTCTTCACAGCTGTTACCACTTCCAATTACAAGAATACGGAATGTTCTTCTTTCTTTAGTGGCTTGCTCTACTGCCAAAAATTCAGAGAAAATGCTTGGAGTAAGGTCAAAAACTTTTTCCTCCTGTTTAGCTGGACAAAGGTAACACTTGTAAGCTTCTGCCAGCTTAGGTCCAATTGTGATAACTTGATCAGCCATTTTACAGAGTTGGATTTCTGTTTCTTGCATTTTTTGACCTTCTGAAATGTCTTTGTATATTCCATCTTCCTCAGGAGCAGAGTGAACAACTTGAATCCATTTCCAATGACTGTAATTTGGATTTCTCTTCATGGATGCAATTGGTCGGCCAAGGTGAACTCCATGACCAATGACACAGTCTGTTGTATGGTCTCTTGGAGGAAAGGACAGGCAAAGAGCTGGCTCAAAACCAGGAACTCTATCTGCTTCAACAAGCTTCACATTGTGACTTTCTGCACTGCTCCTGTCTGCTTCACTGCAATTTGGAAGCAAGACACTAACATCCACATTGGGGTGTTTAGCCAACTGGATGGCCAGCTCTCGGTTGATAGTTGACAAATCCCCATTAGTGGATGATTTCCACTCACTACTTAGCAAAGTGACTTTCAGTGTCATGTTTTCCTGGTCTTCCTGTGATGTACATGCCACACCAGGAATTGTGAAATCCTACAACAACAAAACAAGAATGGTATTGACAATAAGCGGTAAAACAATAATAATTAAATCACAATAATGCATGTCCACTTGATATGTAATGTCAATTCTTTTGGAAACTTGTAGTTAAGCTTTATCCTTTGCCAAAAAGTTAGAGACGTGTAAAATGAGACAAATTTAACCCAGGAAGATATGAAGTTGCCTTAGAGATGACTACACTGTCACTGTCACTGATAACAACCATTACAGTTACAAGGAATTAAATTTAATAATAAAAATTATCCTTAAAGGGTCTTCCATTTCAACTCACTTTGAAATTGGTACATGTAGTCTCATTGAAGAAATTTTGGTAAAAAAAACAAGGACACAAATTTGAATGTTTTTGTCAAATCAAAATAAAAGTTTGGTATTTGTAGTAATTTAGATTTTTCTAGCTACCTTTTGTAGCGTTGACATCACAGGTAGCTTTTAATTTTGAAAAATTACCCTGGAAAAAAAGCAATACAAAATGTGAGTTTACTGAGTCCATTTAAGTTTTCTATTTCCTCTTAGAGTGTTGTTGAGGCCAATTAATGCATACTGGAGGTTAATTTGACCTTTCAGGAAAGCTTTCATTTCCTCATATATTTAAGATCATTGTTTAAATTACCTACTTGCAAAATTTGGCAAATGGAAAATGGCACATTTTCGAAATGAGAAGGACAAATCTTGCAGCGAATAGAGATAAGATCCTGGTCTAATGGTGTTTGCCATTCTTGCTGTATTTCCTTCAGATGACATTCCTGACACATTCATTTAATAAGTAACCATTTCATAAGGAAAAACAAAGTGCTATCACCTTACCATGGATGGAACTCAGAAAAGAGATTTACAGTAAATGTAGCTAACTATTTACACTTTCCAAGCAACAAAGACTCATTTATTTTGGCTAGCCTTTTTATTCTAAGAATTTTTCCTCATATTTCCAATTTTCGAAAGGCATCACAACCATAAAGCAAGCCAATAACCACACATTTAATTTTGTCACATTCAAAGTTGCTATTATCAAATTCCCACACCATGTCATATTTTTGTGGTTCCTATTGCCACTTTTTGCAAATTAATTGTCACTGCAACTGTATTATCTCAAGAAGGTTAATACTTTTCATCAGAATCTCTGCAAACTAAAACTTTGTATGATGAGAAACATTTACAGCACAGTATGCCACTGTCTGCCAAAACTTTTCCAAATGACAAGGTATGGGATGATTAAATTGTAAAAATGGAATACTACTTAGCAGACTGCACTGAAAATCTTTACTACCATCAGCTTTTTGTCTATGCCAAACCAATTTGAGTAGTATTAATTAAAAATGGCTTGGACTTAGAGACGTTTTTCCTCCATAATGGCTTTTCAAACACACCCTCTAATTCAATTAAATTCCACCAATTCCATGGCACTGAGCAAAACACAATTTTTCTCTTCAGATTATGTGTGGAATCACATATCCCATGTGATAATTTCAAGTCATTCTAACAAATCTGTCAATATATATTTCATTAGTGATTTGAGACAAAAAAAAAGCAAAAAATTAGTGTCCAGTACCACCTTAATTTGGTATTGAAAATGTAGGCACTATACCATGAATTTTTTCTTGTCAAAAACAGACAATTGACTACCCATATAAAGTCAGCTGACCACCACCCTGTTCATACATCCTAAACAGATAGAGACAATTTCATGTAAGGATGTTCATATAAATCACCTATTCTTGGAAAGGCATGTTATTAAAATCATAGATCAAGGACAGAAAGCTATTTTTATATGATTAAGAAAACATTTTCAAGATTTGTAATGAAATAAATTTAAATTGCAGAAAGGTCCTTCATCATAATTTAACCCCTTAACTCCCAACGTTGGATTATTAATTCTCCCCTGTAGCTACTACACACTACCTTATAAATTAGTCATGAGAATTTGTTGTTAGATCAAGATAACAGTTTCTACCTGGTAAGATTAAGTATTCTCATTACCTGTTTGCTGGATAATGTATGAATAATATTGGAAGAAGTGACTTGTAAAGGGTTAAGCAATTGCAGAGAACAGGATTCTTCCACAGGATTCCACTGAAGCCGATAAAAGACAATACCAATATATTTTTGAAATCCAAAACATAGTCCAAATTGACCGAGCCTTCTTCTCAAAGTCTTCACATGGATAGAAATACCATGATATTTTATGAAAACACTGATGTCAATCAAAATCCTCTTTTAAAGCAATGCTCTAAAGCAAATTTCTTATCTGCTAAATTATCCACCTCTCTTTTGTGTGTAATCACTCATTATTCTCAAGAAACTAGGAATCTGCTTTATACCGACCAACCGGATGACACAACAGCATTCTTGAATTAGGAGACACATCGCCAGATACAGTACCGCTCGCGTAAACGTTAACCGAAAAACGCGAATTAAACGCGCCAAAAAATCGCATGCAACTGCGAATAAAAAAAATTGTGCGCGTCAACGAAATAGCACGTGCGCGCACGACCTTAAAACATCCGCCTCATTAGTATGTATGAGGTAGTCGTTTAGTTTTTCTACTGTTGGCGGTTTGTTGTTTTAAAGAATAGGCCACAATGTCAGAGATTCAAACCCCATGTGATGGAAAATAGGGAGTAATTATTAGTGCCAAAGGCGCAAGCTTCTAGGGGGTCAGGGGGCATGCCCCCGGGAAATTTTGCAAATTTAGGTTCTCTCAAGTGCCATTTCCTGAATTTTGACATCATTCCGGCCTGAGTTATAACATACCATAATGCTCTTCGCGAAGAAAGTAAGTATAATATGAGTGTTTCACAGTAACAGATCGCCAAAAATTCTAAAGATTAGCAATTTTCCCCTAGTTTTCAGAATTTTATGATAAATCGGGAGAATTTGGTAAAAATCGGGAGAGCGGGAGGCAAGACATCAAATCGGGAGACTCCCGATCAAATCGGGAGGGTTGGAATCTCTGCAATGTAGTAGCACTAAAATACTAAACGGCCACCAACTACAAGCAAACTTGTTCGTTGCAATCGCCGTTCGAACCGACCATCTCAATATGCTGTTACCAGTACGACTTTGTAATCGGAATATAAAGGATTTGTCACTTTCCTACGGAATCCATTTATCAAAATAGCTATTTCTCACTTCGTTTATAGAAACATCCGTCGCAACGGCTTGGAAATTTGTTCAAAATAAATTGTCTCAGTGTATCGTAATTCGGTAGAATCAGCTAAGGCGCCCGTTTGTAACAAGTTGTCGCGTTCTGAATGCAAACCCACGCCCGAATGTTCATTTTATAGCTTTTGACATCGGTGCACATGCATTTCTCGAAAACTGGTTCCTTCATCTCACCATTTATTCAGAGACTAACAAGTTCTACTCGCTTATTTTAATGGTGTTATGTTACAGCATATTTACCTGTCACGACTACGTCTTGCTCTGACTCGTATGCAAATTTTTAAGTGAAACCGGATTTGCTTTTTGTTTCGATATTTGTCAAATCATTGATCGATGTTCACCAAATTGCTCGAAAAATGGGAACGGAAAAATTAACAGCGAGATACATGTAGTTCAAGTTTGTTTATGACTCGCCGGCGCGAATTTGAAACACATCTCTCGTGCGTGAATTACTAAGCATTTTCACTGAACGAAATTCTACAACCCTAAAATTAAAGTGTTCCACTGGCAACAGAAAACCGTCAGTTATTGGGACAAGTGGACCGAAAACGTACACAATTCATGGTACCACGTTTTTTGGTACCATTTCGCCTATAACACCTCACAGTTGTGAATACATGCAATGCAACGAAGGTACAGACAATACAAATCCAGGGAAAACACGCACATCAAGTCACACTTCTAACGTACATTTAATTGAGAAAGTTGACAAAATTACATACATTTCTAATTGACTGGACTTCTTCGGAAGAAGTAACCTTGAGTTAACAAAGAAGAGGAGCTTTACGCGAGTTTCCGGCCGACGCAAATGTTGCAACTCAGCAAGTTTGTATGGCGACATGAACGCTGGGAATCTGATATTTCAAATTTGCATGTTTTCTCACGATAAATAGCTTAAAGACAACCCACATGTACACATTTAAAGATATCAAGAGGATCTTTATATCTGAAAGTGGCATCGAACAGATCTTGAGACGTACAAGAATTGTAATTCCTCAATCGAATACCTTTGGTTACAGAAGCACACGTAAACTGTTGTTGATTATTGCCACTGGTTTCCACTGCTGGAAGCCTCTGAAAGGAATGACCACAACTTCGCCGGTGAACCACTCATTTGAAGACATGATTACGAGCTGAAGAAATATGGAATTCTCTCATGATTGATGCAAACGCTCCCTCGCTAGGAAGTCAGCTCAGTCAAAGATAACCCTTAGATCGTGAGAGAAAATTATCGCTGTGGGCGGGTGTGTAATTCTATATCAATTTAGTCACATGATTAATTTACCGGCGGATTAGAGAGTATGCCTGACAACGTTCTTTGGAGGTTAAATGGGTACGGTACTATGGGTACGATGCGGTTAAATGAGCTTAGGGTAAAATATGGACTGGACTATTTTTTGGACCCTTCTTTTTGGACTATTTTTTTTGGACCATTTTTTTTTGGACCATTTCATAAGGGGGGGGGGGAAGCACACCATTAGTACTCAGGGAAGTGTGGGATGCAGTCTATTAGTACCGAGGAAGGGGTAGGAGGTAGAGTGTTATTACTCAGGGAGGGGTAAGAGACTGAATACTACGACGCAGGGAGGGGTGGGAGGTGGTTGTAATGGTAAACACTACTAGTGAATGGGGCTTTTACTCGATCGTTCAAATTATTTTAATCGCTTTTTCGACTGACTTTTTGTTTGTCAAAATTTTTGCGCTGGGCCGTGGCGTTTCTTCATTCTTGTCGTCATGCGAAAGCGAAACTGCCACGTAAACAC